GGCCAGCTTCATGGTGCTGTGCTGGACCCCACTGTGCCAGCAGGGAGGCCCCGGGCTCCTCATTTAATAGAAGATGCCCATGGCTGGGGAGATAAGCAACTTGCTTACACTCTGAAGTGTGAGGACCCAAGAGAAATAAAGATGCTTCCACGCGAAAACCACCTGAAGGTTCTGGCAGCACCATTCATAACGGCCCCAAATGGAAACCGTCCGGGTCCACCTTGAGCACTGAAATGTGGGGTCACTCAGCAATAAACAGAAAGGGCCGGCGCAGGCTTCAACATGGTCCTCAGCGCGGACTGAATGAAGCCAGGCGCAAGAGGCCGGCGCTGGGACTCCGCTTAGTGAAACGTCCAAAACCAGAGCGCCAGAGTGGCTGCACAGGCCTGGGGTGGGCTGAGGAGGCCACGAGGTTGCTGGGGGCCACGGAAATGGCAGGAAACAGATGTCACCTCAGGAACGTACTAATAAAAAGACCAACTGTTGCACTTCCCTGTACACTTGAAGTAGGTGAGTTTTATGGTACAGAAATCACATTTACACACCTGAGAAAAATAAGTTTCTCTGGGTTTTATTTAGTCATTTAATTAGGCGCCAGTCCACACCTGATACCAGATCTCTGCCCGAGGTGACAGGACACTGTCGCCTCTTCTCCAACCTCTGTAATGTCACACCCTTCCAGGCTTAAGTCCACTAAAAGTTTTCTTGAGGCCCTAGTAACTGCAGTGCTCTGGTGTGTGGGGCTACCTGGCTCAGGTGAGTTCTCACCTGCCCAGACCCATTTGTTTATGAGCTCTGACCAGGTATAGTCAGGGCCACATTGGACTCAAGGTGACGCCAGTCTCCAGGAAGAGGGAGAAAAGCACCCAGGAAGTCAGTTCCGGTCCCCCCGGGGTTTCAGATGTATCCCAAGGGCCCACCTTGCCCAGAGCTGACTGGGCCTGCGGCTGGCACTGTCCATCGCCCGAGGGTGTATGAGGCACTGGACAGGGTCAAGAGCTGGGTCCATGCCGGGTGCCTGGGCCACCGGGGGGTAGCCGAGCGCCTGCAGGTCACTTGGGAGTCGGAGCTGGCGCTGGGGTAGGAGAGGCCCTGCCCAACGGCCCCTGGGCCAGCGCCTGAGGCCGGGGGTGTCCTCGTGGGTAAGACTGTCCTGGCTCACCCGCGAGCTGTGGGCAGAGGTGGGCAGGGGGAGAGGGAAGGCAGAGGAAAGGCAGCGTGGAAGGGCCAGGGAGAACGGGGCGCTGCCCAAGTCCTGCCCACTGGCCTCCAGCCCCCGCCCGCCCCCCGCCCCCGGCCTGGCTGGGAAGGGGCGCTCCAGCCTGGAGCAGTCTCTGCGCCACCTCACAGCCCTTCAGCCAGGAGCCCCCGAAACGCTCATCTGTGGCCTCAGGTTTGCGCCCGTAAACGGCACCACCTGCACGCCACTGCTCACTGCAGTTACACGGGGACTGAGGGGCCTCCTCTGACTTCTTATGTGCTTATTTTACCTTAAACGCTGGTTAAGAAGGAAGCACAGGGCCTCCCTGGTGGCTCAATGGGTTGAAGCGCAGCAGCACCGTGAAGCTGGCC